CATTAGTACCTACAACCAAAGCACTCTCGTGCCTACTTCAGCATTCCTGAAATGAGCTAGCAATAGCGTTACTGAGGCCCACAGCAATGAAGGTATACTGTGCAGGGGAACCTAAAGAAGATCCCCTGAAAAGCAGCATCAGTAGAACTTACCAAGAGACAAATCAATGGCTTCCATCTTATGAGACTGATGGTGAAATATGACTGAACACTCTTTTTTGTGACACGTCAGAACACTTTAGGCATCCAAGAGGACAGTGGCAATCTCCGTTCCCTTTTATATAAGGTTATTTGCATTCCTGTAGACATTGATCATTGATTAATAAGCACTACTTACTAGTCATTAAGCATTACATATTAGCACTGGCTCGCTGCCCTCCCCCTTGCTGGTGATATATGTAAAAAGCCACTAAAAATCATACATGCCATTACATGAGGAGTACCAACACAAACTGTCATTTAGCAAGGACTCCTGCATGTTAGAAGTTTCACAAGATATACTGTCCTCAAAGGGTTGACACTATCATTATTTAAAGCAAAAAACCTAGGTTCAAAAAAGACAAGTGATTATTCTAGTATCATCTAGGTAAGAAAAGATGAACTATGATTTGATTGTAACTTTGTCCCCAAAACCTGACCTTCTGTGTTAGTGGTATTCCCCAACATGCCACCATGTAGAAGATTCTAGAAATCTGATATCCGGTTCACTTAAAATATGATGTTTTACTTTGAATGCAAAGCATTAGAACCAGAATAACATGTTTCACAAGAAGTCATAATATATTTCAATCCCTGATAAGCCTCAACACAGTCCCTGTGTAGAAACACTAGAAAGTCTGTTCTGAGCTCTACCTTTCGCGCCTAGTAAATGTATATAGAGGCAGCACCACTTCGCAACATTTCCCTTTCGTGGTCATTTCGAGTTTGGAGAAGAGCCAGAAGTTGCAGGATGCCAGATATGGTGAACAGGTGGATAAGGACACACCATCATGTTTTTATTTGAAGAAAATGTCACAGACATTTTGAACCAATTCAGGACACTGAGGCAGCCATAAAGACACT